AAAGGAGAGGGGTACCCAGGAAACGGGAAGTTTACTGAGTAAACAAGCTGTTGCTACAAACACACCTGCTACTCCCAGAGGGGAAGCCAGGAGCCACCACCGCCCCCTTCTGGCCACATCCGGGCACTTCTTTAAAAAAAATCCGGACGTTCCTACGTCCGAGGCGTTGGGTTTATTTGAAACACACGCACAACCAATCAGGACGGAGAGCAGCGACCAATCACCGCCCCTCTGGAGACTCCAGCCAATGGGAAGGAGGATGACATCACGCGCCAATCGGCATGGCTTTTAAGAGAGAGCGAGGCTCGCTTTTTGAATTGGCTGTGAATGCCTGGGGCGAGGAATGGTAGTAACGGCGCGAAGAATCGGAGCTTGAAAAGGTGGCACTTGCTGGGCGCTTTTTGAGAGTGGTGAGGACTCGGTGGGTGTGAGTGGGGGACGTGGGAGTGGGCGAGCGTCCCAGGAGCTGTGGGCCCCTTTGCTTCAGTCCGACAGCCCCGCCCCGGTGACCGCGAATTCCGGGGCCGCCCAGCCCGGGCTTCCCGGCTCTGGGGGCTTCCCGGCCGCGGTCCCAGCCCGGGGCGTGACGCGCGTGGGGGTGCGCAGCCCACCGGGCTGCCGGGCACCTTCACCCTCACCTGGTGAGGAGCTTCTCCCGGAGGAGTCAGCGGGTGGAGGCAGGGAGTTGGGAAGCGGTCTTGGCCAGCGCACTGCGCTCTGCGGCTCTGGGGGTGGCCGCTGCACCCCGTGTGGCCTTATCGCGGTGGACGCGGTGGCTTCACTCCAGGATTCTTCCCGGCGTCTTCTCTGTGGGCAGTTTAATTTCTACACAGAAGAACCCCGGCCCACGCCGCCCCATCCGCCCCCCGCGCGCCACCCTCTTCCGTACAGATTTGTATGGCTTCGTGGTTAAAGGCGCAGCCTTGGGGATCAGCCGGGGGTTGAATCCCGGTTTTACCGCTACCAGTGTGACTTGGGGGAAGTTCCTTAACCCTCTCTGCTCTGGGTTTCTTTTTCAGCTGGAGATGATAACAGTAGTTGCTTCTTAGGATTGTTGCAGAGATTAAATACAAGCAAAAGGTTTAGAGCAATGTCTGCCACATGTTAAGGGTTACATAAATGTTAATCATAATGTTATGTCCTGTTATCAGTATTGTTGCGGTTTCCAGGAACATCACCAACATATCCAGCATTGCATTTAGCTCCCTCACCCTGAAAGATGATTGCCCCAAAACGAAAGAAACCAAAAGTGAATATTTGTTTAAATGACAAAATTTATCTTTGTAATGAAAAGAGGCATGTGTTATGTGTTATTAGTTAGTGTATTTAGCCAGAAGTTCCTTAAGAATGTTCTTGGCTGAGAAATAAGCTGTATAGTTTTATGAACACTGATTCTATTGTGCTTGTTTTGAAAGCTTACAGCATATGTGAGTAAAAAAGTAATTAGTGTATTTCAGTTTGTATTTGGACTTAAATGTTCTGTCATCATTTTATCGTGAAACTGTTTCCCCCTAAATCTTAAAGCTGTTTTGGCAATTGATCATACACAGTATCACCAGAGATAATTGTAATTTTTAATTACCGGTTGTGGTGGTCTTGAAGAAGATTGGCATAGGGGGAAAATGTAAACTTACAGTGTTTTTGATTTATCACAATCTCCTCCTTTTTTTATAACAGGTTAGTTCATCTCTTGACTTTTTAAAAACATTCTTTTAAGGTGACTTTGAGTGGAAGCATGCTTAGAGCCTTTTCCCCCCATTGGAAACAATTAAGTGTTAGAGACTTAAAACACAAAATATAAGGGCCAGATAGAATTTATCTAGATTCTAAATAAAGTCTTTTATTAACAACTGTTGGAGCATTTCTTTGGAGAGCCTTAGAATAACAGTTGACATGGATGTTTGGTAAAACTGTAAGAAATGTCCACATTGTGAATATTACATGAGAATTGATAATTGTCACTCACTTTAAGACATCATGTATTTAGTTTTCTTCACGACTGGATTTTTCTATTCTCTTTTTCACCGATGTGGAAACTGATGCTTAACCTATTAAGTGCAAAGCTGAGACAGGAAGTTGAGTTGTCTGACTTAGAAGTGTGCACTTAACAATTGCACTTAGGACTATTGTTATTATAATGTTTGCACATCTTCTCACTACTTAGTATCATCATTCAGAAATGATGCTAATGATACCTTACTGTTTTCTCCATAGCATACAGTTTACTTAAACTATTACTTTGCTAAGAATCTGGTGGAAGCCCTGGCCTGTGTGGCTCAGTTGGTTGAGCATCTTCCCAATTGTCCCATGCTAGTTCTATTCCTGGTCAGGTTGCAGGCTTGACCCTACAGTTGGAGGCCTGTAGGAGGCAGCAGATCAATGTTTCACTCACATCAATGTTTCTCTTTCTAAAATAAATAAAAATCATATTTTTTAAAAAAGGAATCTATAAGATACTTGTATATTTTATTAATCTGAAAGTAGGGAAGGGTAAGGCATGTACCTTAGATTGGACATGTACTTTCAGATAATTTCTGGAAATTTCAAGATAATAAACTTACATAAAAACTCCCATATGAATGATGAAAATCTGTTCAGCTTTTTTTTTTTTTTTCCTGCTTGCCCAACTTTTCAACTCTTTAAGTCCTGGAAATCTAAAAAAAAAAAAAAAAAAAAGTTTTTTTTCCCATAGTCCAGAGTCATATTGGCACTAACCCATGCATAGTTGTTTTCTTTTTTTTTAAAATTTTTACTTATTAATTTTTAGAGAGAGAGAGGAAGGGGGGGGAGAGAGAAACATTGATTTGTTGTTCCATTTATTTATGCATTCATTGGTTGATTCTTGTATGTGCCCTTACCAGGATCGAACCTGCAACCTTAGTGTATCGGGACAACACTCCAACCTACTGAGCTACTTGGCCAGGGCTTGTTAATTCTTTTAGAGGAGAGACATTTGTAAGGTAATATGAAAACACAGATTGGAACAGTCCAATTATACATAAGAGGTTCAAAGAAATTTATAGAGAATGATTCGAGAGTGGTGGTTTGGGGATTGAAAGACATGATAAGTGGAGAATTGAGCACTATTAAATGCAGGTAGGTGTGGAGTAAATTGTGACCTGTGAAAAATCTGAGAAATACATTTTGACTGGAGCATATGTGGACGGGAAATTACAAGAGATGAGGCTGAATAGTCAGCTAGGCTAGGACCAAACTGTATAGTGGGTGGTGAATTTGGACTTGATCTTATAGGTAGGAGTGCTTATGGAAGTTCTAAGCAGGGAAGTGATATGGTCACATTTGTTTTCAGGATCATACCCCTGAAATCTGAAGAAATTGGTGTCAGAGAAAGTTGTTTGAAGCTGGTTCTATTTGTACAGAAGGACATTGTGGCATTAGACTTTGAGAAGAGGGGCCAGGTCCCAGAGATATTTGAGTTGGGATTGGTAGGAATTTTGGGGAGGGTAAATGAGGTAGAGAAGAGTAAGAATGGATCCAGTTTTTGACTGGAATTTTGGGGACGATGGTATTAAAAATGAATATAGGAAGAGAAATAGGTTGGTTGAGGGCAAGTTATAGGGGAGGGAGGTAGAATGATATTTAAGAGTACCTTTTGAGTGTTCACTACGTCAGGTAATGTTCTGAGTACTTCTGATTGTTATTTATTCTATATTCCAGTGAGTTGGATATTAGTATCTTTATAGAGGAGGAAACAGGCTCAGAGAAGTTGAGTGACTTTATTTGTTTGAATATTAAGAAAAATGGGTGATGATGCTTTTTATAAATTCTAGTAGAAAGCAGAGCCTCTATACTTGTTTTGTCCCGCGATCATGTTTGTTTCATGTATGCTTATTCAATTTTTTTCCCCCCAATGAACTTAGAAGAGTACAAACGATGGCTGACAATAGTGTACTAACATCCACTTCTGGGAGGACAAGCTTGGCAGACTCTTCCATTTTTGATTCTAAAGTAACTGAAACTTCTAAGGAAAACTTATTTATTGGACCTGCTTCGTATGTTGAAGGTAAATGTGCTTTAAGACACCAAATCATTATTTTAATTCTAAACTTGACTGACTAGAGACTTTTTTGTGATTTAACTGTAACACTGTTAAGCTAGAGTATAGGTATTCAGTAAATATTTGACAGAATCTCTTTACACTGTGTAGCTTTTTGATTATTGTTTAGAATAATGCTTTCCAACTTTGAAGGGGAAGTCATGTTGGATATTGCTTTTTCTGTATGTAAGGGCAATCTGATGGCAACGCTGTTAGCTAGATTATGTTCAGTTATATCAGGTTAGGTGAAAGGACACTTCTTCCCTTAACCCACTATGTAAATGGGTCTTTCCTAACGTTGCATGCACTATTGAAGAGGATGACTGTACAAGATATTGAGTGCCTTTTGTTAGGAGGAGTGCTGATATTTGTATTCTCTGGTATATCAATTTCTTTCCTTTAAAATGATACGTGGCGAAAATGAATAAACTGGGAATAAAGCAATTTTAATATAGAGAATGTTATGATCTCAAAGATGGAAAACAGCAGATGGAGCCAAAAACGGGATTAGGAACTACTGATTTTGATGTTAATTCCTAATAAACATATTTCATCCTTTTTAATTTTAATAGAAGAAATGCCTCAGGTTGAAACAAGAGTGATATTGGTTCAAGAAGCTGGAAAACAAGAAGAACTTATAAAAGCCTTAAAGGTATGGAGTTTTAACTTTTTAATTTTTTTAAATGGCTATTTTTCTTCCATCAGTGTGTAAATAATTTTATAGTTTTAATCTCATACTTAAGTCTCTTTTCCACAGACTATTAAAATAATGGATGTCCCTGTTATAAAGATAAAAGAAAGTTGCCCTGGAAAATCGGATGAAAAATTAATAAAAAGTGTTGTTAATATGGTAGGTTCAGCATTTCATTGCATGTGGCATGCTGCACTTCCCTTGATTGTATTCTTATATTCCACGTATGGTGATTGGGCCTAAATTAGGTGCAGGGTATAGTGTGCACTCTGAAGCTAGATGAATGGAAACAATTTTATATTTCTAAAATTTGGATGTTTCTGAAACCACAAGCTACGTAGCATGTATTGCAAATAATGGAATCCTTATAATTTGTCATTGTTAAATTTAAATGACATATCATGTATTTATAAAGATACGATACTTTAAATTCTTGATCTTTTTTCTCATTAACTTTATATTCTAAATTCTTGCTGTATTTCCAAAATGATAAATCATAATGATTGACAATCATTAGGGAACTTACCTCAGCGTATAAAATATATCTAATTCTCTATACTGGCTGTAATAGTTTGTGAGGGCTACCATAACAAAATACCACACACTGGGTGGCTTAAGCAACAGAAATGTATTTTCTCACAGTTCCTAGGACTAGAAGTCCAAGATCCAAGGTATCAGCAGGTTTGGTTTCTCTTGAGGCCTTCCCCCCTGGCTTGTAGGTGGCCGCCACTTTCTTGCTGTATCTTCACATGGCCTTTCTTCTGTGTATGCACATCCCTGCTATCTGTTTCCTCCTCTTATAAGGACACAAGACAGATTGGATTAGAGTCCACCCGTGCGACTTCATTTTACCTTAATTACCTCTTGAAAGGCCCTATCATCAAATATAGTCACATTCTAAGGTATAGGGGGTTAGAGTTTCAACATGAATCTTAGGGGTACAAAATTCAGCCAATCACATCAGCCTAGCAAATAAAGCCCAAATCATTTACCCATTCAGAATTTTCTTTTAAATGGATCTCTTTTTTTTTTTTTTTTTTTTAATACTGGAGTCCTACAGGTACTTAAATATCTTTATTATTTTTCATAGATGTACAGTATAAAGTGGTAAATAGTAACTTGCCTTGTTATATTCTACATTTGCCATGCTGCAGCTGCCTACATATTTCACATCTTTCTCATTTCCCTCATATGCACTGAAATGATTATGTTAATTTCACACCCATTTTGTAGATATTAAGTACCAAAGTTTTCTATTTTTTTGAAGACAATTTGTGCAAGAAGCAACCATATGTATGCATCATTTTCTTGGTCAGAAGAAAAGCAATAGTGGATATCTTTTTAATGCATCCTACTATCAAAATGTGTGTACTTAAATTTATCATTTTTATTTTATATGCATTAAGATGTTAATGTAGATGGAGATATGTATATATAAAAATACAAATAAGCAACTAAAGGAATGGCTGTCACCTATTGAGTATAATGTTTATTATTGTATGATTTTAAAACTTAAGTTTTCTACAAATATAAAATTAAAAATTTTGGTATTGAATTGATTCGTAGTTCTTATTTAGAGAGTTATACGAATGAATTATATAATATATAAATTTTATTTCTATAACTACATGAAAAAAAATCAAGGAAATTAAAGTGCCCTTTGTAAAGATGGAATCAGTGGAAGAATATGAAAGTTTGGATTCTCCAGAATTTGAAAATGTATTCATAGTCATGGACTTCCAGGATCCTGTCTTTACTGAGTTATATAAGACTGATTGTAGAGTTATTGGACCACCAGTTGTATTAAACTGTGCGCAAAAAGGAGAGGTAAGAAGAATGTATCTTTATAATGACTTTTAAAGGTTTAAATTTTTATTCATGAATATTGGGAAAATTCATTAACAGAAAAATTCTTTTAATTATTGAGAGTATAAAATATTTAGAATAGGGATAGTAGTAGTTAGTGTAGTATAGTCCTTTCTATAGTAATTTTCAGCAGTAAAAATCTAAGACCTTTGAAAGTTAGGCAATAAAAACTATAAATTAATATATAACAGTTATAGCAGAGTTCGTCCCTATTCTTTGGTTTTATTGCTATGTTTTGCCATTATTAAGCTTGCTTTATTAACTTAAACTTGCTTAAGTCATTGTGTTTTTGTTATAGATACTAGTAATAAGCACACGATAATCTTTCTGTTTTGATTGAGAAATATTGCTATCAGAAACCGAGTAAAAATTTTAAAGACCAAGATTAAGAAGTAGAATCTTTTTGCGTAATGGCGATAATTAAATATACATGTATTAAATAATTATATACCTATATATTCTTATTCTGATGTATATAGGGTGTCCCCCAAAATGTATACATACACATTGAATAATTTTAAAGGCAGTGGTTATTAAAATACATTTCATTTTCAAAATTGAGCTATCAGCTGTTAAAGTGTAGATACATTTTTTTGGGGGGACACCCTGTATATGTGTTAAACTGGTTAAATTATTTACTAATTACCTCCATTTTTTAAGCTCAAAAATTGGAAGCATATTTGGTTCAAGTATATGTTATATACCTAGTATTTATAAACATTTGACCTGTTTTAACTTTAATTGGAAGCATTTCCAATATGTATAGAGTCGGAAATCTTTCCTTATTGATAATATTTCATGTGTGACGAAGTACATTTGGGACTAAAGGTTTGAATATGTTTAATTTGCAAATCGTAAAGTGTATTTAGATATGTGTATCAAGTATGATTTGGGAATTGTGGGAATTTTTTTATTGTAAAACTCGCAATCTCTCTCTTTGCTATTTTTGTTGCATATTGAAAAATGCAAGTAAATTTTTGGACTGGGATAGTTGATTGGCAAGAGGGAAGATATGTTTAACTTGAGAAAGATGTATTCTATTTTCTACCATAAAGAAAACTCACAGATTTAAAATTGTATTCTTCAGCCTTTGCCATTTTCATGTCGTCCACTCTATTGTACAAGCATGATGAATCTAGTACTGTGCTTTACTGGATTCAGGAAGAAAGAAGAACTAGTAAGTATTTCAAAACATTCTATTTAAAGAATACTTTTTCCAGCAAAACAAATTTAAATTGGCACTATTTTTGATCATTGCCTCATTGTTCTATTTAAAGGTTTTGAAGGAGAAATTACTATGACTATACCAGTTTTAAATTTTGTGAAGAAACATTCTGAAGAGCCTTGTAAAGGAACAAATATTTTGTCTAGTATGGCTAGCATATGAATTAACAGAAAAATTTCATAACTGCCTAATCTGTTTAAACTGTCCTTTTGTCCAGTATCCTATCAGCTACATTATTTGAAGATTTTGTTCACACATTGCAATTTTTTGTTACACAAGTTCAGCCTTAAAATATTCTTATTGCCCTAGAGAATTCACAGAAATTTCTTTGATTCGTAAAATTTTCTATGTTGGAGCTAATGGAGTATTACTCTAATTTTGTGGGAGGAATCTTGGTGTGATGTAATCTCATGTTATAAAAACAGTAATATATTTACCTGTATGAAAGTCAGTTTAACTAAGTTTTGTGTGATCATCTTTACTAGCTTACCACTATAATTTTGCCTGTGCCAATAAAGCAGATGAATCTTTTTTTTTTTTTTTTACATAAAGTTTATATCTTTATAAAACTCCCTATGTGTACCTTTTATAACGAGAAAGTATTCAGTAAATGCTAAATGAACTGTAAACATAGTTTAAAATTTTGTTTAATTATAAAGTTAATGTTACTTAATTTTTCTTTTGAGGTCAGATTGGTGACATTGGTCCATCACATGGGTGGCATTATTCGAAAAGACTTTAATTCCAAAGTTACACATTTGGTGGCAAATTGTACACAAGGAGAAAAATTCAGGGTATGTAAATTTGGGTATTTTTGTGTATTTCAATATAGCATCATTTGGGAGTAGATTTAATAATAGCATTCTCATCTCTTTCTCCTATACTTTACTGAAGATCAGAAATTCAATTTTTGCTTTATGTACATTTAGCAAAAATTTTAAATCACAGGAGTGTGGTCTCAGGTTTTAAGGTGCCAATGGAACGTGACAGATCTTCAGAGATGAGTAGGATTGTGGAGGTTTTCTAGATGGATAAGATTTCAGGCAGATGAATACTATTAGCAAAGGTTAGTATGAGCATTGGTGAATGAGAGGGGTCAGGAGGTGATAAGAGCAGATATTTCACTCTTGTCTCAGTGGTCTTTATAAGAATGGAGCAGAGCTATGTTTTTATAAAATGATTCTAAGATTTGTGAAAATTTTAAAACAACAGGAGAAAGTACTTTTATTAGGATTAAATCTTAGTTTAAGATTACACTTGAATATGTATCTTAGGGAGAGTTTATCTCTGTTTCCACCCTCCATCAGTATTTATTATTTATATAGCAAATGGTAATTTCAGTATAATGTTGAATTCCTGAGAATTCATATTTTCAAATTTATACTGAAGTTTTTAGTTACTTAATCAGATGTTTTCTTCTGTAGCGCTGTCTTGAGGGTCAGTTCTTTCAAGGGAGCAAACATGAAGAAAGGAGAAATGAAATATAATAAAGGTGAACTTAATCAACTTAAGAGATATACTTATTTAAAGTAAAATAAGGAAATGGTTTGCACATCATGGAATTTGTTTTAAGGTTATTTTAACCTAAATTGTATGATTGAAAGAGCATTTTTTTCTGTTAATTTTTCTTTATATTATATTACATTACAAAGTAGATGAATAATGATCTAAAACTGTAAAAAAGTATGTATACAATTGCTTAGAACTTCCATGAATGCAGTTATTTAAAGTAAAAATTAATAGTAGTTTAATGCTTATATTTTTAGATTGCTGTGAGCCTAGGCACTCCAATTATGAAGCCAGAATGGATTTATAAAGCTTGGGAAAGGCGGAATGAACAGTAAGTGTTTAAAAATTCAGTAGTTTGTTATGTGAATTAAACATGTTATCTTATAAAGGTAAACTCACATGCTTCAAACCCTAATTCATAGCTAGTATAGAAAAAAAATGAAATCAATCTTTGGGTAGCTTAAGGAATAAAGGCTAGGAAGAGCAAAGTTATAAAAAAAAAAAATGAAATATGAAGATTGGAAGATGCCTTTGGTTACCTTTGGACTTTATTTTGTGAAATAATTCTGTTTATCATAAAAACTGTAAAATTATTAATATCTTAACGCATCTAGGTGTTTGGATTGTGTTGTATTTTTTCTTATGTTTTTCTGGTTACATTTTAAGTGGTGATTGCAATTCATAATCTTTTTAAGCTTTCCAACCTCATAATTCCTCGCTATTTTACTTTTTCATTATTTAATATTTCATGAAACTAGAACACCTGGAATACACATAAAATTTTATGTGCAGAGCAGGAATTTGAATCTTGTAAAAATTATCCATGATCAAATTTTGGCAGAAGTTAATTCAGGATGACTGAGGACATATCAATTGTTTTTAAACTTTTTTTTGTTTTAAAATGTTAAAGTTTTCGTTAACATTTCAGGACCAGATGTAAAATATTTTCAATAAATGGATTTCGCTAAAACCTTGAGAATTATAAATTGATGTACCTAATTTGTTGAATTTAAGTTAAGCTGGTTTTAGAAGAATGTATTTTGTTTTTAGGGATTTCTGTGCATCAGCTGATGACTTTAGAAATGAATTTAAAGTTCCTCCATTTCAAGATTGCATTTTAAGTTTCCTGGGATTTTCAGATGAAGAGAAAACCAATATGGAAGAAATGACTGAAATGCAAGGTAGAATTTGGCATAATTTAAAAGTTTTATGCATATATTTTATTCCCCACTCCTGCCTAATGACTTGCTGGTGAATATGCCTCAAAAAATTTGGGTTTGGCCCTGGCCGGGAGGCTCAGTTGATTGGAGCATCATCCCATATACTGAAAGGTCATGGGCTCGATTCCCAGTTAGAGCACATACCTAGGTTTCGGGTTTTGTCCCTGGTTGGGGCGTGTATGAAAGACAACTGGTCAATGTTTCTCCCTCTCCCCACCTTCCTTTCTCGGGAAAATAAATAAAAATTTGTGAATGAAGATAATTTGTCTTATGTTTATATGCATTTTTCTTTAGGGGGTAGCTATTTACCAGTTGGAGATGAAAGGTGCACTCACCTTATAGTTGAAGAGAATATAGTAAAAGAACTTCCATTTGAACCTTCAAAGAAACTTTATGTTGTTAAGCAAGAGGCAAGTAATTCTAAAATGTGATTTGTTTTCTAAAAATATTACCATTGGCTTTTCTTATAAGGTGAATTCTTAATTAAAATGTTCTTTTTCTCACCTAGTGGTTCTGGGGAAGCATTCAAATGGATGCCCGAGCTGGAGAAACTATGTATTTATATGAAAAGGTATGCTTTTTTTCTTTTTTTTTTTACCATAGTCAATTTGTTCTGTGAATTTGATTGTATAAAAATGACACTTTCGCCTGGCCACCCTGGCTCAGCAGTTGAGCATTGACCTATGATCCAGGAGATTGAGGTTCAGTTCCCGGTCGGAGCATATGCCAGGCTTATGGGCTCGATCTCCAATGGGGGGTTGTGCAGGAGGCAGCGGATCAATGACTCTCATAATTGATGTTTCTAATTTGTCTCTCCCTCTCCTTTCCTCTCTCTGAAATCAATAAAGATACATTAAAAAAAAAAAGACATTTTCTATCCAAAAAGAGCATGGTGTAATTAGCATACAGGTCATCTTTTACGTCATGTTTAGGAGTTTGAGAACAATTAGATATTGAGTAGTAGTCTATGTATATTTAGGTGAAACCACTCATTGTAATGGATATTGTAATCCTTTATATGTCATTCTGTGCTAATACGTGATATTATTATGGATAGTAGTGTCCCTATCTTCAGAAACTTAGAACTGTGAGGGAAAGACAGATATGCAGAGAGTTACAGTGCAGAATTGTATGTGCTATAGTTGAGTAATGTATTTTAACCAGCCTCATTCGGAAATACTCTGGTAGGATTGAAAAGACCAAATAAATGTTGAGCCAACTTATTAGGCTAACCTGGTAAGGACATTCAAGTAAGACAGCATGTGGGAGTGGGTATGAAAGCTTGAAAGTATATTAAAATAGCAAGTAGTTTAGTGTGGCTTTAGAAAAGAATGTGGGAAAGGCGGCCAACAGATAAAGCTTACTATTAAGAAATGGGCAGAATTACCAAGTTTTTAATAATGTTGAAGAGATTTAGATTTTATCCTATAAGTCAGCGATTTTCAACCTTTTCTATCTCATGGCACACATAAATTACTTAGTAAAATTCTGCTGCATACCAAAAGTACATTTTTTTGTCAATCTGACAAAAAATAGATATAATTTTGATTCATTCACACTGGATCGCTATTGTTGTGTTGGCTGTTGTAATTTTTTTATTGGACATTCTAAGGGAAAAGAGGTCAGTGCTCCTGAATAAATAGGCATTGCGTGTTTAAAAATTCTTGTGGCACACCAGTTAAAAATCACTGCTATAAGTATTGGGAGCCATTTAATGTTAAAGGGGAAGATGCCATTAAAAAAAATGACTGTAGTAGTAGAATGTAAGCAAGAAAATCTAGCCTTCATGCTTATCTTGGTGGAATGGTATCATTCACCAAAATGTGGCATAAAGCTATAGAAGCAGGCTTTAAGGGAAGATTTACTTCAGTTTGGGATTTAATAATTTTGAATAGAATATTGAAGATGAGGTGTGGATTTATTGTGTTTCTATAAAACCCAAACAGGTATGTGCTATATTGTGTTCTTTTTAGACTCTTCTCAATGTTAGGTTCTTAAATGTTTTAGATATTGAGAGAGAGCTCTTAAAATCAAGTGTTATTTGACAAATATTGGAGAACACTATGTTCAGCACTATGCTAAATGCTAGGGATACAGTGAAACAAAATATGAATGGCTCCTGCTGTCCTGGAGTTTATGGCCTAACTGAGGAATAGACAGTAAACAAGCTTACAGACGAATATGTAATGGCGATAGTGCTATGAAGAAAAAGAATGAAGTGCTGGGGTTAGACAATTACAGTGGTCCCTTGACTATTACATTTTATGAAGCTTCTGAATTACCTGGCCGAGTATAGAGTTGTAAAATTATTGTGCAAAATCCATGTCTTGTCAGACTCATAAATATATTTTTCTTTTGTAACTGTCTCAGTAAAGAACCATGGAAGTGAAATTGAGATTTTGTGCTTTTGATTGCAGGCTAATACACCTGAGCTCAAGAAATCAGTGTCACTGCTTTCTCTAAGTACTCCAAACAGCAACCGCAAAAGACGACGTTTAAAAGAGACACTTGCTCAGCTTTCAAGAGAGACAGACCTGTCACCTTTCCCTCCTAGTAAGCGCCCATCAGCTGAACATTCCCTTTCTATAGGGTCACTTCTAGATATCTCCAACACACCAGAGTCTAGCATTAACTATGGAGGTAATTCACATTTTAAAAAATTTATCTTTAGAATATAGTGGACTGGAATGATTATTAAAGCATAGATAAATCTCTGCTATAGTGACTTTGAAAGACTCTGCCTTGAATTACCTTTGTTCTAGTGGAAGAGAAAAGGCACATGAAAATGCTTTTATTTAATGATTGTTTACTATATGCTAAGTGCTTTTTATATTTTGTGTATTTCTAAGATAGATTTCATTTCTCCTATTTTACAGATGACTACACTGAGGTTAGAGAAATAACTTACTAAGGGTCATACAGCTAGAAAGTGATGGAGCTGTTCAAAGAGCAAATTTTTAGCACTAGCTAAACAAAATCACAGATGTATTATGGGGAAAACAGACAGTGAATTCAGCGGAGGGTGAATTCATTTTGTTCTCAACTGATTCAGGGAAGCTTCTACAATTAATTCTGTTGATCATGAATTTTATTTTTTAGTCAGCATACATATATATTGTGTTTTCTAGATTTAATAAATAAAACTTTCCCTTGATCTCATAACACTCTCCACTTACCCCATTTCTTCCCTTTCACATGAGTACTTTTCAAAGAATTACTTTGATCCATTGTTTCATTTCCTTGCTTTTCATTGTCTTTTTAATCCATTCCAATTGAACTTCAGCCCCCCTACTATGAGAAATTGGCTCTTGCTGGGGAGATGACAGTTTTTATGCAACCAGTAGCACTCAACACATGAACACATGAACAACTACTTATTTCTGGACACGTTTTTTTCTCTTGGCTTTTGTACATTACTCATTTCTCATTCTCCTTTGCCTAGCTTCACTCTGCACCTCCGAATATTGAATGCTATTCTTGTGTTGTTTCTTCTCTATTTTATTTTTCCTAAATGATCTCATTTAATTCCATGGCTTTAACATTTATATGCTGATGACCCCAGAATTTGTCATCTTCCCTCTCCAGTTGCCTACTCCATACCTCCTTGTCCACATCTTTAACATAACATTATCAAATTAGAACTTTCGATTCTCTCTACCACTTTCAACGCTATTCCTTTGCCATCCTTTATCAACTCTTTCTGTAGAAAAGATCTCTCTTAGACAATTGCAGTGGTCTACTAAATGGTTTCTCTATATCCATTTTTGCCTTTTTACATGTAGCACTTACAGAGGTCTCTAAAACTATATAAATTAGATCTTGCCACTCTGCTTAAAGTCATTCAGTGGCTTTGTATTACCATAGCTTTCAAGTTCCTATGTAATCCTTCCTCACCTACTTCTAACCTCATGTGGTATCATGCTCTCCAGCGATACTCTCTAAGCTCCATTTACACTATCTTAGTTATTCTTTGAATATTTCTACTACATCCGTGGCTTAGGAACATGATACTTGCTCTCTCTGCCTTAAAGAAATTCTGTTGAGCTCTCTGTAAAGCCAAGCCCCTGTTCTACCACTCTTTTCTACCAACTCATCACCTGGTTGTTGTCTTCAGTAGTAGTTATCACTGTTAGAAATTATATTTTTTGTTTACTTACTTATTTTAGTTGCTTCACCAGAATCTAAGTTTTAAGAGAAAAAGAACCTTGTCTATTTTACTCTTTGCTTTATTCCAGTGCCTAGTACAGAGTAGGTACTCAGTAAATATTCATGGAATGAATTGAAAGTCATTTTAAGGTAGACCCAGAAAAATGAGGTGGATTTGAGAATATAAGAGGAGCAAGAATATAGTTGGTATACAAATTAAGTTTTTAGGGAATAATGAATAGATCCATTTACTTGGAGTATAGAGGAGTAAAAGTTAATTAGAAAGGTTAATTGGGGCCTAATATTAGGGGACTTTGAAATCAGACTGGCATGTCTGAAGTATATATCAATAAGGAACTTTAGAAACTCTTGAGTAGCAGAGTAATTGAGTAGGTAATTTGTAGTGGATTAGCCTGAAGAATGATTAGAAGGGAGGCAGTCTAGAGATAGCTAGACCGTGAAGTAAACTACAGCGGCTTGGGCCACAAGATGAATGATAAGGCCTTGAACCAGGATTGGAAAGAAAAGCAGTGTTGGGGAAATATTGATAGAATGGGGTGATAGGAAGGGAATAAGAAGACAGAAGACAGCAAAGTATTAAATGGAAGAAATGTTACCTTGGCAAAAATAGGAAGTTTATATTTTGGGTGAAGATAGTACAGTTTTAGAGAAAATCCAGGTTAAATTGAGGCAGTACTGTCCAGTAGGCATTTGGAAAAGTTCAACCAGGTGCTTGTACAGGGGATTATAATTAAATGCATAGATCTGAGAGTTTATTGGTTCTGTAATTATGGACATAATGGGCATGAGGTGGTAAGAGCTGATGATAAAGGACTGAAATTTGAAAATACATTATGGGACAGGAGAGGTAAATGAACCACTAAAAAAAATAGACATGTCAATACTAATATATTAGATAGTCTGTAATAGACTCTGTCGTAGATCACTGCCTAGACACAGTAATTAAATTAGATCATTAGATCAGTGTATGTCAATCCCTCCCCCCAACAAAGTATCCTTTAATGTCAGAGGCTTCTCAGTCTAGTGACAGTAAACTGAAAAACATGGCATGTGGGAAGTTCTTTGAAGTCTGTTATTTTTAAAAAGTGTTCAAAACTCCATAGTAGTCTTGATTGTTTTAATAATGCCTAAAATTATTTTTCATTGAGTAAAATTGGTATGCTGGGACTATATAGTGTCTTTCTCATGTCATTCTATTATATGTTACACATTTCTTTTCCTACTGTAAAACTTTCTATTACAAGATTCTGTATATAATGTTGAAATACTCTAATCACACTGATAGTAAGAAAATGTATTTTAAGATTTTATAAAATTAAAAAATTTTTTCTTGAAATACATACAAAATATATGAATGCACCTTCCCTGCACTTTGGGTTGGACTGGATGTTTTATGTTAAGATACTTTGAACTAACAAAGAATTTGCAGTTGATGTTGGGTATTTTTTGAAGGAGGCTTTCTCCATATATAGGGTTTCCCAAAAAAATGTATACACACTCTTTGAATAATTATAAAGGCATTGTTTATTAAAATACATTTCATTTTCAGAATTGATCTATCAGCTTGTTACTGGTGAGATGATGAGACCTTGGTTCTTGTCTTATTGAAGATTTCAATCAAGAGACAAAGTGTAGAAAAGCAAGCACGAATTCATTGACCACAGGAAAAACACACTTAGGACAGTGCAACTACGAAGGGCATAGAAGTAGCAGCAGGAGAGCATAGGCTGGGCTGCTTTGGCTCACTGGGAAGTCAGAGAAAAGGGGGCCTTGGAGACAAGTTCCCACTGCCTGTTGCTCTCCTGGTTGCAAATCTCACGGGGTTCCTTGGGGCTTAGGAGATACATGCCTATAGGGGAAGGAGAGAGGGAAGGGAATGGCACTGGCATGCTCCCTGGAGGACCTTCTGGGACCTTTGTTTTTAGGGGTTTTAAAGGCTGAGTATTTGGGGGAGGCCTTAGGGGAGAATCAATAGAATATTCATTGACTTTATCTGCTGTACCAAAATGGGTTCTCTCTTAATTTGTCTGTCCTTGGGTGTGGATGGCAAATGGCACTAATTGGATTTCTGTTATCTGTCTGAGTAGGGTGATGTAAGGTATTTACCCTCTTAACTGTCCTTGGTTTAGGAAAGAGGATTTACTAGGTGGCTGCAAACTGCTGTTTAACTATCTGAATAGTTTCCCTATTCCGAATGTCCTGGAAATTTCCTAGCTCCTTACTATTCTGTAACAAGCTGTTAAAGTGTGTATACATTTTTTGGGGACACCCTATATATATGAAAAATTTTCTGTTATTGTAATTGTGTAATCATAACCTTTTTCTCCTTTTAAACTTAAATGTTACTGTATGTTGCTTTTTATTTTGAAATAGTTTCAGGTTGTAAAAAAACTGCAAAACTAGTACAAAGATTCCCATACTCTCTACTCAAATTTTCCAAATGGAAATATTCTGCTATGTTTGCTTTAACATTCATTCTTAGTATATGCAGTGTTTTGAGAGTATGTTGCAGATATCTTGTGCCTTTACCTCTAAATAAATTTATTTTTCCCCAAAATATAGGGACATTTCTTGTATTGTAATTAGGAAATTAACATTAATACTATAATCTACCTGGCAGACCTTCACATTTTATCAGTTCCATTAGTGTCCTAATGTCCTTTTTTCTTTTGCTAAAAGAAAAAAGTTTTTTTTCTGGTATAGGATCCAACCCTGGATCACAGGTTATCTATTCTAATCTGGAACAGTTCTTTAATCTTTGTTTTTAAGACCTTGACATTTTTGAAGAGTACTGGCCATTTATTTAGCAAAATGTCAATTTGGAGTCATTGATAATTTTGACAATTTTTTTTCTAGCCTCATGAGGAAAGTTTACTTTAATGAACATCTATATGGTGGTATATTTATAAGAGTTGGTATCCTTCCCTTTTTCTGTTAAATCTGTGCAATGTTTAGTACTTATGTCTGGCCTGCATTTTAAATCAGTCCTCCTTTTTACCTTTTAGAAACACCAAAGTCTTGTACTAAGTCTTCTAAAAATTCTACTCCAGTTCCTTCAAAGCAGTCAGCCAGGTGGCAAGTTGCAAAAGAGCTCTATCAGACTGAAAGTAATTATGTAAATATATTGGCCACAATTATTCAGGTGAGTTTGGTTGCAAAATGATTTCTGTTGCAGTGTTTCTAAGTAAAAATGTCTAAGAGATGTTACTTCTTACAAGCAAATTACATAAGCATAGAATTTGAACATAGATATTAAAAATGAAAATGTGTGACAAAAACTGCTGTTAGGGAAATGCCATAACTGTAATAGTAGCTTTTATTCATGCAGATATAGCACTATATTTTAGAGTGACTTTAAAGAGAGAAGGATCCTGATTAGATGATCATAGAGGAACTGAGTTTAATTCAGAACTTTGCAGGTTTCTTGTTAAGGTACTGAATTTATATTTATATTTGGAAGTGATAGGTAACTTTTTCTGAAAGTGTGTTCTAGAGGTATTGCTTTTGGTAGTACTCTGTTGCTTTAGGTAAGTAGTACTGTATATATGTGAAAAACCAATGGCAATGAAGTATAACAATATGGATATCAGTAATTTTTAAAAAATCCTTTATGTCAAGTTTTCTTAGACTTTGCAATGATTAGTCATAAATGTTAACTCATTTCTTACCACTATCAAAATGTACTATGAAGTTATTTCTGAAGAAAAAACAATTCTAATGAATACTTGTAATGAGATTGAAGAAGATATTAAGGAGTAAATTGAAATTCAAATCAAGGTTCTGAAAGACATAATAATAAGACATTATTTTGGAATCTGTAGAAAGAAGGAATCAGTTTGCATTAGGTAATGACAGAGATAGTTTGTTAAGAAAATAAAGTTAATACCATCAAACTTGTCTTTGAATAGAAAAATGATAGTGATAAGAAATGGAAAGACTTCTTTCTTGGTAGTAATGGAGAGGTTATTCTTGATGGTTAATTTGTTTAGCAGTAGTTTAGGTTTTATGAGGCCCTGAGCTGTATGAAACTTTACTTGTTTTTTTTTTTAAATGTAGAAGGGAGAGGGAGAGAGAGAGATAGAAGCATCAATGATGAGAGAGAATCATTGATCAGCCGCCTTCTGCACGCCTCCGACTGGGGATTGAACCCGCAACCCCAGCATGTGCCCTGACCAGGAATCGAACTGCGATCCCCTGGGTCTTAGGTCGATGCTCAACCGCTGAGCTACGCCCAGCCAGGCAAACTTTACTTGTTTTAAGTTAGCTTTTCTCTTCCTCCTCAAGGGAAATGTCATCATTTATGACTTTCTTGTTTAAGTTTTTATAGCCAGCCAAAATGTAATTGAGTAGCAGAATATCCTATTGGCATATACCGTTCATATACTTTGGTAGCACTTATTACCTGGAAATGTAAGTCCTTTCAGGCTGTGGTAAATGTACTGGAGTTTCAGGATTCTAATTTTGCACATCAATTAAATTTACCAGAGCTACTTTTAAAAAAGCCCTCAAAATTATTAAACAGTAGGTAGAATTTCACAGCAGTATGCTTAATATAAACTCACCTAAGGTTTTATTTAAAGGATTATGGTCTAGCCCTGGCTGGTGTGGCTCGGTTGGTTGAGCGTCGTCCCATGCACCAAAAGGTCACTGGTTCCATTCCCCATCAGGGCACATTCCCTGGGTTTTGGGCTCCATCCTCAGTAGGGGGTGCGCAGGAGGCAGGCAGTCAGTGTTCCTCTTTCACTCTCTTCGTCTCTCTCTAAAATCAATAAAAACATTAAAAAAAAATGATTATGGTCTAAATTCCTGATAGTGTTTCCTTGAAGCTTTATTTTAGGACTGAAGTGCTCTTTTTTTTTTTGTTTTTTTGAAATTGAATTTGGGCCTTCACCAGTGTGGCTCAGTTAGTTGGGCATCATCCCATGTGGCAAAAGGTTGCTGGTTCAATGCCAGGTCAGGGCACATGCCTGGATTTCTGGCTGGGTCGCTGATAGGGGGCGAGCAGGAGGCAGCCAATTGATGTGCTCTCACACCGATGTTTTTCTTTCTCTCTCTGTAAATATCAAAATATTTTTTAAAAAAGAAATTGAATTTGGAATAAATTTTAACTTAGCCCCCAAATTAAGTGAATATCTAGAATATATTATAATATAATATGGAATAACAAAATATTCCAGAATATTATAAAGATTAATAATAAAATTATAAATTAATATTGTGCCAAGAGTTAAAGAGGATTTTTTTAAAGAAGTTAGACTGGAAGGGGAGATAGAATTACACTCCAAATAATAATACCAAGCGAAGGTTATAAGCAGCGTGAGGGAGGTTTAGTTGAAATATTTGGAGATTTGTGAGGTGGGTTCTGCTCCTCTTCCAGTTTAGGTAAGGTGTGGGATTGGAATTTTCAGTAGGTTGAGCATTGGAAAAAGCATCATAAAGAAGAAAACTGAACTGGATTTTAAAGTATGAGTCTGATTGGTACATGCAGATAATATGGGTGGGCAGTGTATTTGAATAGATTTTGTAAACAATACAGATGATTGAAGATGTGTATTATTCAAGGTATGCAGAGTAGTCTAGGGGGATTAGAGTTCAGGGTAGTATTAAGGGGACCAGGATAGGGGATGAGGTATGGGTACAGTGAGAATCGATATAAAGTGCCTATGCCATAACCGGGAAGGCCCTTGAATAGTGTGCTGGGTCATCTGTAAGCTGTAGAAGGGGAAGATAATCTGACTAGCATTTTAGGAAGCTAACTTGGTTCACTTTGAAGGTGTTAATGAGGGAAATTTGCGGAGGCAAGGAGACCAATTTAGAAGTTATTTCAGTAGTTTGGTTAGGTTTTGAGGACCTGAACTTAGGACAGTATCAGTGAAAATGAAAAGAATAGATTTAAGAAATGTTGGAAAGGTAGAATCAATAATTTTTGTCTCTCTAATTTTATATGGGGATTAGAGCAAACACAGAACTGTTTTAGGATGGTTTAACCTATCTTAAGACTATTGAGAGATTTTTAATGAAACTTGATGTATTTTGGTTGTCTGAATATTTTTGTTAAGGATTTTTAATTAAATGTTGATTAAATAAAGGAATATTTATAAATGATTACACATAGTTTTGAAACCTATTATGTTTCTTTCCCTCAGAGATAATCATCATCTGGAATTCTGTGCTTATTTCCCTTATAGATCTATTACATGTGTGTGGGAAGACAAACTATAATGTAATCATATCTATGTATTTTTCGTAATTTGCTTTTTCACTTTGTCATGTTCTTGAGACAGATCTGTGTTGTTGCATGTAGCTGTAATTCATTTTTCTGTATGAATGAATCAGTTTATTTAACTTTTGTTTTTGATGGACATTAGAATGAAGTTTTAGTGTTTTGTTTTTGTTTTTCACTCTTACTGGTAGTCTACCATGAGTATTCTTACATCTCCTTTTTTTTTTTTAATATATCTTCATTGATTTCAGAGGGAGGAAAGGAGAGGGAGAGAGAGAGATAGAAACATCAGTGATGAGAGAGTCATTGTTCGGCTGCCTCCTGCATGCCCCCTACTGGGGATTGAGCCCACAACCCAGACATGTGCCCTGACTGAGAATCGGACCCCAATCGCCTGGATCCTAGGTTGATGCTCAACTGCTGAGCCACGCCTGACTGGGATTTTTTTTTTTTTTTTTCCCCAACTCACATCTCCTTGAGAACATATTCTGGGTAAAAACTTGGAATTTCTCACTCACAGGGTACAACATTTTTAACTTCACTGGAAGTCGGTAGGTTGGAAACTAGGTTTTGTGTTCGTCTTCTCTGTGCCTACTAAGGTTTCCGTAGATGAAGCTTACCTTTCATCAGATTAGGCAGATGGCCTTTGTGGCAAAAGTTGGCTTTAGTATTCAGCTCTCTACATTCACTTAGATTTTGGCTTCTGAGATTCACTTAGAGTTTTTTGGAAAGTGAAAGTATCTCACTTTCTTGTCAGCATATTGGTGTATTTAGAAAGGTGTTTTAGTTACTTCAGTATTTTCAGTTGTTTTCAGCAGGAGAATTGGAATGCCTCAACATATATGAATGAACTGTTGTAGAACTGTAGGAGTTCTTGACAATAGTAACAATTTGCAATCTTCATGTTATTTCATGATACCTTCTTTTTGTTTTAAACTACCATTCATCCCCTCCTGTCCTTTGTGCTATTATTGTAATTCATTTTACTTCTACATATATTAGGACTCCAACAATACATTATTATTTTTATTTGAGTTGTTTCCTTCTGAGTTTGATAATTTTATATATGTATGATACTATTCCTTTGTCAGATATGTGATTTGCAAATATTTTTATCTAGTCTATAGCATGTCTTCTCATTCTAAGTCTTTTGCTGAAAAAAAGTTTTTAATTTTGATTAAGTCCAACTTACCAGATTTTTTAAATATATATCATATTTTAGTTATATTTAGGCTGAGGTTTATTATTTTGCGTATAGCAGATGGTGTTCTAGTACCGTTTGTTGAACAACTAGCCTTCCTCCATTGAATTGCTTTTGTACTTTTGTCAAAAATTCCTTCGTGTTTGCGTGAGTTTGTTCCTGGGCTTTATTCTCTGTTATTGATTCACCAATACTGCACAGTTTTGAATACTGCAGCTTTATACTAAGAAGTTTTTTTGCTGTTCCATATACATTCTTAGTAACTGGTTTTCTTTATCTATAGAAAGTCCTGGAATTTTGATAGATATTGGGTTAAATCTGTAGATCAGTTTAGGGGAGTATTGACATTCTTACTGTGTAGAGTCTTTCAATTCACGACCATATGTCTTCATTTACTTAGCTCTTTTTTGATTTCTTTGATGAGCATTCTTAGTTTTCAGCATCATGTACATACTTTATTATAGTAAGTCCTCACTTAACATTGTCGATAGGATCTGCAACTTTAAGTGAAATGATGTATAATAAAATCAGTTTTACCTTAGGCTAATTGATATAAACAAGAGTTAAGTTCCTATGATATCTTATCAACATTATAATGAAAGGATGTTATTCGAGGACCTGCTGTATATTTATACTTAAGTATTTTGATTTTTTTATTGTACATGATATTTTAAAAATTTTGGTTTCCTTTCTACATTACTGGTATATAGATCGATATATGATCAACGTGTCCTCCGTGCATGTGTGTTTTGTATCCTGTAACTACACTATATTCACATATTCTAGGAGCTATTTATCTTTTATTTTTTTAGATTGATACAAGCAACAACATGAATACAAACAGGTCTTCTGCTTCAAATCTAGTCTCTTTCCCCTAAACCAAGGTTCTGTGCTACCATTTAAGCACATTTAGTACTTATAGTAAGTATATGTCTGGAGATAGCTGATTGCTTATTGCTTTCTTCCTTAGTAACTTGAATAAAAATAGAAATTACTCTTATATCATACTAACAGTTTTAATAACTTGTAGAACTGTGCGATAAACTTTTATTAGATTCTAACATAACATTTTATTACAAGAGTATATAAACACATATACACAGATGTGTAAATAAATAGGATAAAATAGAATAGAAAATGTTAGAAAAAAGGCCTCAAATTTAGAGAGGAGTATTTAAAAAATGTTTTCTCCTTTTCATCAACATTTCCCCTTTATCACTGTCTATGTGTTAGCTTCCCTTCCCTCTCCCCACAGTCTACCTAAACTAGTTCTTTTTTTTTTTTTTTTTACCTTTTAGTTATTTCAGGTACCATTGGAAGAAGAAGGACAGCGTGGTGGGCCTATCCTTGCACCGGAAGAGATTAAGACTATTTTTGGTAGTATCCCAGATATATTTGATGTGCACACTAAGATAAAGGTAAATTTGTATATGTTAGGTTTGTAGTAATTTTTTTTTTAAATTTATCTTTATTGTTGAAAGTATTACAGGTGTCCCATTTCCCCCCCCAATTGACCCCCTCCACCTCACTCCCAC